TTGAAGTCTTGGATCTTCTTCAGTGAGCACTCCAAGTTACGACTTTGATATGGGGAACCCATGTGAAAGGGTTCACTCCAGATTAGTAAGGAAGCATGAGTTTTTGCCTTGCTTACTGGGTACCCTGCCCCTGTGTATAAATGCTGTTTATTCAGAAATGACCTCAGAACCATAGCCACTGGCCTGTCCTGGCGCCACACCCACCCCTGCCCTCGGGCTGCCCTGCCCTGCACCTGCACTGGGGAAGCTGGGTCTCCCTCTGGGGCAATCACATTCCCAAGCCTCGGCTTGATGAGAGCTGGGAGTGTTTAGTTCCCAGACTTCTGGGTCAAAGACATTCCAGGGAGTTCCAGGAAGGAGGAGATGTCTTTAAACTGCTTCCAGTAGCTCCTGCGGAGCAACCCCAGTGGGGCGAGTCTGTCCCAGGGAAGCCATTAGCCTGCTCCAGTGCCCTGAAAAGGCTGCCCACTGCAGGGAGCAAGGCAGGTGGGAGTGCACTGAGATCATGAGGGTCCTTTCAGGAGAGTCTCAGACTTCCGTCCACGTGAGCCCATCTGTGGCTGGATCTGCCCACGGATGCATGGACCTAGATACGAAGCCCTGGCCAATGCTCTCCCAGCAAACCAAAGGAAGTTTTGGAGAACAACTTGTCATTTACTTTCTCCTCACCAGTTTACCAGTTGCTGTCGACTCTGGCTCACCAGTGTCAAAGTAGGACCACACTCTCGAGAGGGTCTTTGATGGCTGATGCATTAGGCGACCAGGCCATTCTTCCACAGTACCTCTGGGGGGACTCAGAACTCCAAACGTTCAGTCAACAGTGGGGCCATGTTAGCTCTTGGCACCACCCAGGGACTCCACTTTCTCGTGAGGCAGTATAGACGAGTACACATTTTTAAAAGCAAGAAAATACAGAATAAACACAAAGACGAAGATTGCCCATTACCGGCGAACGACTGTTAATATTTTAGTTACTGCCCATCCAGTCCTTCTGCCTCTCTCCCTTGATAAAATGTATACAAAGGAGCCCTGATAGCGTAGTGAGTTATGTGTTGGGCTGCTAACTGCAAGTCAGTGGTTCACACCCACCAGGTGCTCCTTGGGAGAAAGACGAGACTTTCTTCTCCCAGCACGATTGACAGCCACGGAAAACCACAGGAGCAGTTCTTCTCTGTCCTATAAGGTCCACAGGGGCCAGAATCAACTCTCTAGCTTGGTTGGTGTGTGTGTGTGGGGTGCTTATTAGGAGTGTTTTCAGATCGGAAGTGTTTGCCCATGTCATGTAAGTACTATTTGAAAACATAAGTAAGGTCTGCCCAGTGATCGATGGCGTTAGTTCTATAATTATTCATTTAGCCCTTCTCTCGTCTTAAACATAGAGGTTATGTTGCAGGTTTCCTCTTATTAATAGTGTCTGTACAAACACACCCCATCATTTCCTTAGTCAAACAGCGCAATTGCAAACTTCACTCAGAAGGAGGGTCCACCTTGTCTCCTGACAGTTTGTCCCCCAGAAATTGAGGGGGACAGAGAGGAGTTAAGCCTGTGTTCTCCTGAAAGCGGCTCCTGAGGGGGGTCTCTGTTTGCTGAAAGCCAACTGCCGTCTCAGGCTGACACAGGCATGCTGCTCTCAGGGCTGGCCTGGCCACATCCCGAAGCGGGTAGATTAGTTTGGGCGTCTGCTGTCCCCACCCCAAAGAGAACCCTGCGCCCGCGGTAGCGCTGACGAAAACCACCTCGTGCCTTGTCTCACAGGTGCAGTGGCCACACACACACACACACACACTCTTTGCAGTTCCATCTGTCCTCAGGAGCCCAAGTGGCACAGTGGGCTACAAACCAAAAGGTCAGCAGTTTGAACCCAGCAACTTGCCCTTGTGAGAAAATGCAGCAGTCTGGTTCCGTGAAGCTTCCCATGTTGGCGACCCCTGGGGCAGCTCTTCCCTGAGCTGTAGGATCACTGTGAGTCTGAATGGACACAAAACACGGCAGCATCTCATCAGCCGGCTCCAAACGTTCCATCCACAGTCTCGTGTGCCTCTTGGACGCGCACAGGGACGCAGTCAGGCCCAGGTGCCCTGGAGGCAGGGATCGCAGAGACCCAGTGAGCAGAGAGGCCACTGCTGCCGAGGGAAAGGCAGCTCAGGCCCCACGTGTGTCTTGGAGGGATGCTCCTTTGAAATGTGACTCTGAGCGGAGAGCAGGGCCCCACGGGAGAGATGAGCTCATTTGTCGTGAGACAATGGCTGGGTACCAGCCACTTGCCGGTCATGCCTGCTCTTTGCTGAGCCTTGGATCTGCTGTCGGTATGGGAACGCGGGGATGGGGAGACCAGAGGCTGCGCGCGCACACACATACACACACACCCCACACACACACCTCAAGCATGTTCTGACTGCCCTGTCTCTTGGCTCTGCAGTCTGATGGCACCATCCTGGCAATTGCCCTGCTGATCCTGTTCTTGCTGCTGGCCCTGGCTCTCCTCTGGTGGTTCTGGCCCCTCTGCTGCACCGTGGTAAGTGACCCGCACTCTCCCTCATCGCCTCAGGCCTGGGGGTGGGCATGGGGAAGGATGGCATAAAGTTAACGGGACGTTGGCAGGGGCAAGGTACAAAAAAGTGTTATCGATGTGCCAGACCAATCTTGCACCTTCGTATGCAATGAATCCAGAGTTGGGATAAGTGAGCCCGGATGGCCAGAACCATGATGCCTGAGGTGTCAATAGGAGCCAGGCAGTGAGGTCACCCGTAGGTCCATCCTTTGGGTTGGGCAGCCGGGGTGCCACTCTAGGCCTGGAGCTTCGGGAGGAGACAGGCATCGTACACTGCCCGTGGTACGTGCTATTGGACATGTTAATGCCCAAGTTGCTGAGTTGTCCCATCAGATCCCTTCCTGGGAACCCCCTAGTTGCTAAGCAACAAGACTGCCCATCCAAGAGCGTGCCTTGGGCATCTTATTGGATTCATCTTCGCCAACATTTATAGGCGACACCTGCTTAGACCTCACCCGAGGCTGAGCACTGCAGCTACAAGATCAGTAAGAACCAGCTTCTTCCCTCTCACTGCCATCTGGCAGCATCACTTAGCTCTGGCCAGTGTGTCCCCAAACAGCTCAGAGCCTGGAATCACTCCCCTGTTCACCTTGTCCAACTGGCATGTGTCTGCTTGTCAGTTCCTGTTCCGGGGCCCCTAGACTTGGGAAAGCACCACGTCGCAGCCACGTAGAGAAACCAGCCGTTCACTCCAGCACCTGCAGAAATGCCTTGATGCAGGCTGAGAGCATGTGCTGTGATACCCAGCGTGTGGCCTCTTTCACAGCCCGTATCCCTGTTAGCCTGCAGAGGGCCCAGCAGCCGCTCCAGCACAGGGTCCCTTTGTCACTTTGCCTCTGAATCCCCAGTGCTTGACACACAGGCAAGAGGACACACGTGTGGGTCCGGAACTGAGCCGAACAAAGACTGAAGATGTACAGAGCACTAATCTTGGAAAGGAAGGGGAAATAACTTGAAGCAACCTTTGAAAGAGGCAGCAAATGAAAGTCGTGGAACGCGGCTAGGGTGTGGGCCCATGTGGCAGGGACTTGTGAGGGAGGCTCTTGCACCGACAGGAGCCTCTGGTTGTTGAGGGGAAAGGATGACTTACAGCGAGCACCGACGTGTGCGTGTACGTGTGTGTGCAAAGGCACCAGGTCAGCTAGCGCTGTCCAGACTGGACTGATTTCAGGACGATCTTAAACAGAGTCTTACCACAGCAGCCGCGAGAGCTGTGTTGTTTTAAACACTTAAAACGACAGTGTCGTTATTTTATGTCGAGGGCAAAAAAATAAAAATCCCATGAGTCAGCCAAAGGGCTTTCTTTGGTGATTCAAAGTAAGCACATGTTCAAGTCCAGAACTCTGACAGGAAAAAAAAATTAAAAAGGCTGACTGCGGGCTCTCAAAGAACAGGGTGGGGTGGGGCGGTGGCAGCAGGCCATGAAAGCGAGGCATGGAGACACAGATTGTTTATGTAGACAGATGCACGCAGTAGGGGGCTTCAAGAACGTGGTGGCAACATTCCATTATGTGTTCCTTCTATGTTCCACAAACGTGTTGACGCCCCCGCACATGCGTGTGTCCCTGTCTATATTTAGAGAGAGCACGGACATGCATGCTTCAAACAGCATCTAATACATAGAAGCACAGTGTGTGATGATTATCAAAAGCATTTTACTAGTAAGATCTATTGCTGTTCTGTGTTGATGGGAGACATTTCTCAAAATAAGCCTCTCTTCTCTTGAAACATCCCCCAACGTCGACTGTTTTACAGAATTCCAAATACATTCAATGCAGATGTTTACCTGGTTACGCACATCTGGCTTTGGAAGGCAGCCAGCATGTCTTCGTGCCGTTATCTGATTTTGTTGGGCCCAAGGATGTCTTTTCAAGGGACGTCTTGGAGACCCTGTTTATGCTGTCGGTAAACACGGCCCCCATGCCCTCTTTCTGAAAGCTGGCTTGGGCTCTGGTGCTTGGTGCGCCCCCCAGGCTCCCACCCCCTAGACACTGCTTGTTGACTGCTCGCTGCCTTGATTGAGTGACGGCTGCTCGCAGGGTAAGGGAGCCCGTTGAGAGGGTGCAGACAAAAAAGATTGCTCCCTGTTCAGGACCTGCCTCCCCTGAACACAGTTCCCTGACTAGCAGATGACATCCTGATGAAGGTCAGGCTCCGAACCTTCCTGAGTCACCCCTGGCCCAGACCTTGACCCTGCCCCTGACAAGTGTGGGAATGACCCTCTGACCTGGCAGTGGAGCTGAGCCCGAGGATGAGGAAAGGCTAGGAAGCAGAAGCAACTGCTGAATGTGGAGCAATGGAGCTTTGTCTTGGCTGTGTCCCTGCCTGCCTCTTCTGCAACCCTCCGCTCACTCCAGGGATGATGTAGACAACACTCAAGAATCTGCAAGCCCGCCCCACCCCACCCCCAAAGGGCAGTCGTGGCTCAGTACTAGAGTGTCCCCCATCCGGGCAATGAGTCAGCGTCTTCCGGATGACCGTGAGTTTGCTGTGGGAAGTTCTGGCTCGATTGCAGGCTGGTGCCGCCTCATGCCTGTATGTCGTCGTGGTGATACCGGTCAGGTTTCTGCAGAGCTTCCAGACTAAGACGGACTAGACAGAGAGGCCTGGTGATCCACTTCGGGAAATCGGCCAGTGAGAACTCTTTGGATCACAACGGTTCCAACCGCAACCCCTGTCTCGGGATGGTGCAGGATTGGGCAGGATTTTTTTTTCCACTTTGAATGGGGTCTCCATGAGGTAGGGACTGGCTTGGTGGCCAGTAAAAACTGCAGAAACCTTTTTGTTGCTGCTGAGCGTGAGTCATTCACAGAATCCCGGAGGATGACCTGGGAAGAGGCTCAGTCGGCAGTCTGTTCACCGGCAGATCACTGGGAGATGTCACCACGAGGAAAGGAAACCACCTCTGGCTAAAGTGACCAGCCACTGCGCACTGCATTCTGCCTTTCCTTAAAGCCCACTGCCCCCCGGGTGTCTCTGGGCTTCCTCCGGGCTGGCATGGCAGAGCATCATCCTCAGAAAGTGACTGGTGGAGAGAAAGACTCCCAGAAGCCGGATCAGAACCCTTCACAGCTTGGCCCTCATTATCCAAGAGCGCCTTTGGCTTCTAAGCATCTCTCATTGGTTCGCTAGCCCACAGAACACTCAAACTGACAGGGAGTGAAACCACCTTGACCTCCAGCATTTCCCCACTGTACCAGGGACCCAGGGGTGTTGGCATTATTGTTTTATCTCATAACTTACATCCACTCATATGCTACAGCCAGGGTTTTCTATGATCAAATATTACATAGCAAAGGACATCTTTGTTTGTTTTGTGAAAGTCGCAAGGAAAAGATCTTGTAGTTGTATTCTTCTAAAATCCAACAAAAGATTCCACAGGACATAGGCCAAACTCAATTGTTCTGTTTCTGTTCAAGCAACAGCAAATATTTTTAATCCACTTTGCTGCGAGAGGATGGTGTGCACGCATTCATAATTTCTCCCGATATAAACAAAATTCTGTCTCCATTTTGGTTTTGATTGATTGCCTTGTAAGCATCTTCTAGGCAGTTCTTAGGGAATTGTGTGAAGGAATGTGCTTAATTCCCTTCATTGGATTCCCAAAATGGGTCAGCCAATAGCCCCCCTCTCCAGTGACAGAGTACAAGGGACAACTGTCCACCCAGAACCCGATAGGTTCACGTTGAAATCAACATAAAGTTTCAAATCATCTTCTCAGCACCTTTAAACACACCATTTCATTTGTAAGGCCACACCACCAGGCCTGCCATCGCCAAAGGGATTTGTTGACAGTCTGTTTAATAAATCCATGACTAATCCTGGCAGCTCTTTCTCCAAGCATCTTGGGATGAGACCGGTCCTGCTTTCTTGATGGCTTTCCATCCTCCACCCATTCCCAACTGGACCCATCTCTTGCTGCGGTTTATGGGATGGTTCCTCACTAGCACACACGGCCTGGCCTGGCCTCGGCAGTTTTGGCCCCCCTGCACCACATGCCCGGTCTGTTCTCATCGGCCTGTGAGATGACGTCACTGCACGCCTGCGGACCCACCCACCCCGATGCCTGCTGGGCGTCATGGAAAAAAATGGGCTGTCAAGAATGAAGACCGGATTTCAACACCGGATTGTCCCCTCTCAGTGAGCAAATCTAACCTTAATTTCCCTACCAAAAAAAAAAGAACTAGAAAAGTGGAACCAAATTATCGGTGAGATCGCTTCACAGTTTTACATACACACTTGCATACTCAGCTGCCTGCGAGCTTCCCCTGGTCTGTAGGTCTCAAACCTGCTCCCGCAGCAAAACCGCCTGAGGAGTTAACGATGCAGCTTGTTGGGGAGAGCATTTCCAACCCTTGTCTACCAAACCATCGGAGCCTACAGAAAAACAAATAAGTACACTGCAATGCAAGGGGGAATGTAGACACGAGGTTAAACGAAGTTGAATAAATGTTTTCCCGCAGGACTTCTCCGAGCCTTTAATAGGATAATTTGCTATATGTATCTTCTAAAGGCTGGACGATCACTCTGCCCATAACCAGGCAGTGGACAGGGGCTCCCTTCTCCCAAACCTCAGAGAAGCCAACTGTCTGCATTCCTTCTCCCATCTCACTTCGTTGAGTTTTGCAGGGACACTGATACATCGTCTAACTGAGGATGTACCCAGCCATTCTCTGAAATGACCCGGTGGATTCGTGTCCTAATGCTGCTATAACAAACCATCAGAAATTGGGTACCTGGCGAGAATAGAAATGCATGTAGCCTCATGGTTCTGGAGGCTAGCAGTCAAAGTCAGTGTGACCATTGGGCGGGGTTCTCTCTGGAGGCGCTAGGGAGAGAGCCTTTGTTGTCTCCCCAAGCAGCCGCCGGCCCTAGCTGTTCCTTGGCTCTCTGTTGCTTTTTCACACGCCATCCTTCCTCTGTGCCTGTCCTCCCCTTTTATAAGGTCACGACCCAGATAAGTC